TTGACTAAGAAAAGGAACTGAGAAAGAACAAGGTAGAACAGTTTACAGGTCTTAGATCCATCACAGCTCTCCTCACACAGTTCAAGTGATGTCGACGTACCATAAGCAAAATCTGCAGGTAAAGAAAGTTTTGTCAGCAGGGAGGGGAACGAGAACTTCTCAGATTTTTTTTTTCCCACCTTAAGATACCGTGAAGCTTTTACACTTATTTTAGAAACAATATATTGCTAGTGAACAAGACCCATCTGTGATAAAAAGGGTTATATTCTTTGGCTTATTTAATTTTTAGCCAATCTCCTGTCTCCAAGGGCCAATTAAGATTTCCTCTAAAGCCTTTGTTAATTCTCTGGCTTTCTCAGTGAGATTTACCAGTAAGTAAAATCAGAAGTTTATTATTTACTGACTTTTCACTAGCATTGCAACAGATCCAAAAGACAGCTCAAGAACCACAATACTGAGCCCTATGACATGATTTAAACACCCTGCCTGGGAGTGCAATCAAAACTCTTCTCCTATACTGTACATGAGGAATATCTCAGAGCTGCATAGCAGGACAATCATCTCAATGAAACTGTTCCTGTGCAAATATAAACATTAAGTGCAGGGATGCTTTTCTATCATTTTGGAAGTAACAGTACGGGTCCATCTTCTGAAGGGAAGCATGTACCCTGTTTCAAATTATAGTCTCTCAGGCAGAAATCACCCTTTTAACCAGAAACTGTTACCAATCTCCCTGGAGTACACCAGCTATCCTAGTTCATGCCTGGCATGATTACAACCCACCTTACCCACCCCCTGATTCAATGACTGAAAGTAGTCTGAGACAAAATTTTTACCCTCAAAGGGACTTACAGCTGTGTAGACACCTGGGTACTAGGCCTTTATCAGAATTAGTACTCCCTAATTCTAAAAATAGTTTATCATTAATAATAAAAGGAGAAAAAAACGATAGTATTTTTCAGGCCTAATCTGATCTCTGTTTTTCTGTCTGACATTTCACCACAATGATCACTCAAGACAACTTTTTATTGCTCATTCAGTCTGTAAGTAATGTATAGGAAATGTACAGTATTTTCTTCTCTTTTTTAAATATAAAAAGTATTTAATTATGTTGCAGGGAAATCAAGAACATTATCACAAATTCCAGTGAGAAATCTATTAACTAAACATAGGTCAGTCAGATCCATGCAACTTGATTCTGGGATCACTGCCACCAACAGTCTTTACCTCATCCCATCTTTTCCTTTCCTCCTCACTAATTTTCAGAGCAGATTCTCAACTGAATGAAATATGCCTATTATAAGAAGCCATCCTTTTGCCTCTAGCTGCAAGCTCCCATCAGCTGTCTTGGAGCAAAGTTTGGTCACAGTCTTGCGCCTTCAGTCAGATAACCCCACCCATCTGGCTGAAACACTAATGTACTAAAGAATAAAATAAAGGATTTTTCAGGTTTTGATTCATCTGGTAACACAGCATTAGAACTACTATTGCTGGTAGAAATGAATCAGAAACCAGAGATCACTGAAAAAATAAAAGGACAGATCCATTCCTTTCCTCAGTGTGAACCACTTGGGTAGCAAATCCATGGCATGAATCAATGCAAAGGCCTTTTCTACAGCCTGGAGACTATTCTACCTCTCCCTTTAAGTCAGTTTCTCCCCCTGCCAGCACATTCACTGAGGCACGTGGACATCCACTGAGCTTTTTCAGGAATGGAAGCACAGTAATTCTTTCTAGTCCCTGGCTTTTTGTTTTTCAGCTGAGGAGTTCTACATTAGTTTCTATTTTCTGTATCTATTATAATGACTAAAAAATACAGTTCACAAACATAAAAGATCACATTTAATGTATAACTGAAACTACAATTTAAAAAAATTATTACATTAGCAATCATTTTTTTAAAAAATGTATTTGCACTAGTTCTCAGCTATTTGGAAAAAGTAAACTGAAATGATGACTTATACAATTAAGTAAAACATGTTTTACTTTAGGGAGATAGATCTTTAAATCCAGACTCCTCCTGTTGGGTTTTCAATTGTAAGGTCAAAGGTGTTCACAAATTACAAAGCACATGTCATATATCAATTTTAAACAGATGTTTTACTACTATACCAGATAAACAACAGAAAATTATAAAAAATATGTTGGAGGTGATTCTCCTTCAAAGTCTTACACAATCCGATATCTCTGAATGTCAGAAAACTGGATAAGGTTAAAGTCTTTGAAGCACATCAACATGTGAATATAAAATATGTTACCCAGAGCTCATGCTTTGGTTGCACTGCCACTACATAAAAACAGATTCATTCAGACACGAAAGACATGCACTGCAGATCAGTGAGGTACAATCATAGACAGAACCTTACCAAAAAATAACACGCTGATCTGTACTCACTGCTAAAACAGACAAGTGGTAAACACTAATACAGAAATATCAAGGAAGAGTCTCTTTTTTGATAAATACATTTCAAGAGATGCCTAAGATAGGTGCAGTATAAAACAGCTTCCCCAGAATTTTTCCCCTCTCTACCTTTATGGCAATTTCTCCTCTTAAGACCCCTCTTTCAGAGAGAAAATCTCTTACTGAAAAAGGCTCTGGCTCACATCCTTAGTGTTCAATTATTTAAGCTACTGAACACTCATTACTGAAATTAGTGCAAATTAAGCATGTGTTAATGGTCTCAATTCACGGTAGCATCACTCTATATGACAGTACATAAGCACTTGCTTTTCTGAATTCTGGTCTAATAACACTGCTGACTAGAACTAGGTTTAAGCATGTGCTTACACAATGATGGTCAGAATAATATGACTCCAAAATACTTTGATCCCAGCTAACAGTAAACAACCTTTTATCTGGTTAAGTTTGAAAAATGATTGTAGCATCTAGGTCCAAGTAATTATACTGTCTGTTCCTTGCCATTTTTTTGAGTATCACTTATATTTCTTGGAATTAAGTGCTTACATGCTGATTAGAAACAAAATACATAGGACTAAAATAACACATTTATTACATGCCATGTTACAGTTCACTATGTTCCCATTTCTGTTTGCACTCATAGTACTATGGCAAACTCAAATTATTTCATCAGAAACAAATGAAGTACACATAAAAGTTTGTCAACAGACAGAAGCAAGTGTATCCATAAGCCAAACAGCCATAACATTCAATAGGTTTAATACTCCATTACATTGTTTCATAGAAATTAGAGATGAAAGACTTCTTATCCATCCCTTGCCAATTCTGGATGTTTTCTGTTCTCCAGTTCAGTCACTGGAGGCTGATTGGCAACTGACAACCACATGAATAGAAAAAGCTAACTAGATGTGCCAGAGGAGAGCAGGCTGTGAAATTTGTATTTCCTCTTGTGAAGTGCCAAGTTCTTTCAAGTTTCTTTTGTTTAAAGGTGAATTAATGAAACTCAGGGGCTCACAAAATCTGTGTCTTTTATTGTACAGCAAGCTGACTGCTTTTCAAGTACACATCCAACATGCTGCTGATGCCACATTCATCCCACCTACAGAAAGATGTGTTTAGTGTGCTGTCAAAAAGCATCAAACTACATTATGGAATTAAAACTGACAAATTTCCATTGGACTGAACATTTTCTGAAAGTGAGATTCTAAAACCCAGCAAATCAGTGTTGATAATCATGCCACATTTCTACGCTTAGTCTAACAGTCAGAAGTTGGTACTTGGAAAGGTCACACAACAAATAATGTCAGCCATCCTTGACAGTGGGCCTTCGGATTCTCTCAACCGCTCTTATATTTTTTAGTAAACTTCTATCTTCTTTCACACTTCCTTCCAATATGACTGCACAGTCTTGCATTCTCTATTAAACTTTGGGGCTGAACACAACAGTAACTCTGAAATGCGTATTGTATATCATATCTTATTATGCCTGGTACAAACTAGAATAAAAATGTACATTAATCTTTTCTGAGAAATTCAGAGGAGGCAGCACATTTAACAGAAATATTGGGAGGGGGCTTTTCATGTAACATTTTTTTATTCTTAGCTATTAATCATGTCTTTATCTTTAGTACTGAATATCCTTACCTATAGCCAAATGCTAATCCCATTAATCCTCTTGAAAGATCTGTAAGGTCTTCGGTGTAATGCTGACTTTTACTTAATGCATATCTTCGTTTTACAGTGATTTTTGCAAGCTCACTTGAGACTGGTTTCTTTCTGAGAATGGAGAAAAGACTGCACTTTTCTATAATGAAAACAATGGGTCCTATGATTTTTTTGCAGGATGCATCCCTGGAGAAGGATCAGCAATGCACAAGGATTCTTTTAACTTCCTCTCCCTAACATGACTTTTCCATCAGAAAGAAACAAATATTAAGAAGGTAATTACCCAGCAATCCATACCACAGGCTCAGTAAATTAATACCACTTGGCTTTGGCTTAGTGAGCAGCCTGTGCAGTAACAAACAGAATCTACAAAATCATACTATATGCACAGTGGAGCAGAGCACACACTACAAACTTGGGTCTGGAGATTTAACAGCAGTGGTTTTGATTACAGTGACTACAGCACTGTTATAGGTTTTCCAAACTCTGCTGATACAAATTCTACCAAATGTAGAGGTATTACTTTTTCTCCAGCACTGAGTACGAATCAGATAAATGAGAGGATGAGAAGGGCTATGTTTAATGTCAGAATCTCAGCCGACACCAGTCTGTTTTCCATGAAATGAGCAAGCAATGGCAGCTGGGTAAGAATTTTTTAAAGTTGTAGCCTTCTTGGACAACTTTGGGGAACTCACAAACGTGAAGTAACAGTAGATGAAGCACAGACATAAATGTAATCTAAGGCTGAAAGCCAAAAGCCTCTATCAACAGTCATGATAAGACAAGCTCAGAATTACCCTTGGGTGTTTTGATATATCCATTTCTTGCTACTCTAACATCTGCATTCAGTATAAATCTGAGTTGATTAATTGTGACTTACTCATACTTTTTGAAATACTGCAGATTGAAAAGGGAAATAAAATCACCACCTTATGGATGAAATGGATGAGACTAACTAATCCCATTTTATTAAGGCTTTCTTTGTAAAGGTGTAAGAGATGCTACAAAAATCCTTCTGCATTATTATTAAGGATTAAAACTGAAAGCTTCTGTAGAACTGTCCAGTTAAATAACATAGCCTCTTGACTCTGCATTTTCTTAGAGCTGAAAAAAACTGTGTGCACATGTGTTAAGGAAAGATAAATCTTAGGGATATTTATTTTTAAATTTTCTCCTCAAAATACTAGTATCAGTTCTATAGTTGATCACAAGAGGGAGACTACATCATCATATTTCCTCTCATTGTTTCAGGTTTTTAAAGCATTACAATTTGAGTAATTTTGGACCAGCTCTAATCTTTGATTGCTCAGTTAAAAGTATTAATGACTATTCAATTAGAATTTTTTTCTGAGTTTGTCAAATCTGAAATTTATAGGTAAAGATAGCCAATCCAATAAACAAGATTAAACAACGCAAAGGCAGTGGGAAAGAATATTCGAGAATAGGAGTCAATTTTTGCAATACGTATGTGTATTCTTCCTTCTCGCCAAGATCCTGTGCGGCAGTCTTCAAAACAACAAAAGAAGCTAGCACAGTCTTTTCCTTCAAGGCACTCATATCCATAATCATCGTCATGTTCAGGGAGATGATTAATGTTATTAATTGGAATTAGTGTTGATCCAGGTCGAACAGCAATTGCAGGAGGTTTCTTAAGGAAAAAAAAAAAAAAGAAAAATATAGTATTGCGCATTTTTATCCTCATGTTAAATAATTCCATAGGCTTTTCACAGCATCATAATCACCCTCAGTACAATATATAAAAATTCTAATATACAGAAATTCTAGTATTAAAGAAAACAGCAAATTATGAACTGCTGTATATAATCAGATCGTGAAGGCAAAAGATCATAAATGATTTTTACCTGCCACAGTGAAAACTGGGTTGTGCTGGAATTTGTGAATGGTAGATAATTAGTTATATAGACACAGGTGATCCCATCTATACAACACAGACAAACATTTTGAAGTCAGTCACTGCTTGACAACTGGCTCACAACCAAGTCCACAAGTAGTCTATAATCATCACTACCAAAGGAATGATAGTCCTTCCATCATTTGGAATCTTCCAAATGAGACTGGATATGTTTCTGGAAACTATATTTTCACAAACAGAAAAAAACTAATGGTACACCATTCGTGGTGAAGTTTAACAGACTGAAACATATCAGGCTATGTCATCTAACCCTCTGATGTTAAATCCCTAAACAACATTCCCCCACCTTCATAATCCAAGACCCAAGTCCTTAGGAGAATGCCATGCAAGTCACTGAAACTGATTAGTTAAGCTCTTAATTCTTACTTTCATTTTTCTGTGGGCACAACAACCCTCTTGCAATCCAACAAAAACAGTGTAATAGATGTTGATAATTCTCATAGAAAATAATCTGTGTGCCTTATTACTTAGCACATACAGTGTCTGCTATTCCCTTTCTTGTGACTTTTGCCTTTTCATCTTCCTTTTACTTCCACTATCACAATCTACCTTTCCCTCTTTTATTATTTTGTTTCTACGCAGTTGTTTACTCATCATCCTTGTTTTCTTGAATGTTTCAGAAGACATTCTCTTTCTCCATCCTTTTTTTTTCTTCTTTCTAAATCTCATGGCCTTTTCAACTTCCCTCCTCCACTCCCCACCCCACCTTTGGTATCTCTTCCAAAATCTTCAGACCAAAGAGAGGGGTTACATTGACACTACTCTTACCCTTTCTTTCTCTTTTCTACTATCTTCATATTTTGTCATGTAAGGAATAAATACAGTGGGAAAAGGATGTAGGGAGAAGATCTAACTTGGTATTTAGTGTAAAGAATAAGTTCTCTTAACCAATTATACATGATAGGCAATGCAAACGTATGAAAAAATACGAAAAGTGGGAAGCCACATAATTTAGGTTCTTGATACACTTCATATCTGCTGTCCCACTTCACGGGAATAGGTTAGGCTAGTGCACAGATCTCTGTACATTGTTAAGGAGGCCTTCTATTGCTGCATGGGCATTTTACCCAATATCCCAAGGGATAATGTTAATGCAGTGCAGTATCCACCATGTTTTCAAACAGCTTTATTTAGTAAGTGTCTTTCCTAGAGAAAGTTTCACACAGACTGCTGTTTCAACACTTATTAGACATGATGACCTAGGGAGCTAATTATCATCCTAAAGGACCTCATTATTCTTTTCAGTTATGATAAAATACTGACAATACTAACAAACATGAATTGTGTGCTTCTATCCTAATTTTAGGATAGAATTTTAAGCATTGCAAAAAGGGCTTACTTTTATAAAACATAAAAAGTAAGTTCAATTTTTTTAACTGAAAAAAAGTATTATTCTATTGACGATAAATAGGGAAAGATGCTTAATTCTGATTCATGCATAATCTGGCATTACAAGAGTTTTCTGACTGTTAGTTCTGCCCATGTAAGATTTGTGGCATGAGTTGTTTCTACAGCTGGGGTAAAACAGAAATCCCCAACACAGAAACACCACAGAAGAAGGAAAAAATTACAGTACTGCTTTTCATTGCTCATGTCACCAGCACAGACTGAAGGTGTCTACTGAATTACAGGTTTGAAGAGGTGGCTTGATAGTGGCAGATATAGTCCTGTTATAGGCTCAACTACCTACAGGAAATATATAAAATGTGTTTAAGGAAGAGGCAATGTGAGTGAAAAGAGGAAAAAAGACCTCACAAGAAAAGGATTTTATACCCGTTGGCAGAGACTAAAAAAAACCCATCAAAACACCCTCAATATGTAGATACAGTAGTACATGCTGATTTTTTTGTACATGCCTACTGACACTGTAGATAAAACTTCATGTATCATGGCAAGCATTTATAATCCCTTCTGATAGGATCAAACCCCAATTATTCTGCAATAACACTAATACATGTACAAAAGAAAGCTATTGTCTGTGGAGATCAGCTAAGGTGATGCATTCACTTCAGCTGAAATGATGATCAGAACAAGATTCACAACTAATTAAGTTTAATCTTTCCTGCCCAAACTCATTATCTTTACTAATGTGGATTTGCATAAGCCAAATCATACTACCTTTCTTGAATGATGCCAAAACATATGCTCTAAGATAAAACTGCTGTAATCATTTGTAAAATCTCACTTTTTCACAAGATCATTTACTGTGCCTTATTGGCATTAATCGATGGAATAATGGGCTTTTATTGCATTTTGCAGTAGAAATAGAAGATCTATACAAGGCAAGTTTTCCAAGGAAAAAACACCTGTAAATGAGAACTTTTCAGAAGAAATTAAACTGACTTTTTAAATTAAATTGTTTCTTTGACTTACATACCCAAAACTACAAGAGAAAAAGAAGTAATAGAAGTCTTTGACAAAAATAATGGGGGAAATAAAAAGAAAAAATAAGTTAAGGATTTGTAGTTGTATGACTTCTCATTAACTAATGAGATGGTATCTTTATTTATTCGAAACAAGAAATTTTATGGTTTTTTATAAAACATCACCAAAATCTCCCTATTTACCAAATTAGAATCCTTGCATCTAAGTATATTAAGTTTAAAAAATTCTTCTTTTTTTAGGGTAATCTCTTTATCTATTACGGTCCTATAGCCATAACATGCTGGAACATGTTTAAAGTATTCTGTGTGAAAAGATTTCTTTCTCAACTACTTAGAAATAAAAAGCATGCTTTCAGAACCCAGTAAAACACAACTGAACAGTATTTTGAGCATTATATTGCTAATTTCAAACTTAGTGCAAATTCCAGCTATTTATTCAGTGAGTTTCATAGTTTCTAACTCATCATAATTCTACATTTTAAATTTTCATATGCACTGAAAATATCAAAGCACTTGGCAGATTATTGCACAAATGGCTGATGTGCGAACAGGTCCTGGAAAGTGTTGTTACTCCATTCAAATGAGTGTACTTGCAAACTACTTCAATGTCATTTGATTTGTCAGCAGCTGATCTTTAATATCTCCCTGGTCTGAGTAAACCAGTCCTTCCTCCCATCTTCCTGTTCTCTGTGTTGTTCATGCTGAAAGTAGACCTATTCAGCTTTGTGTTCACTGAGTGCTGTCAAGACCTCACTGCAACAGCAACCTGAAATTGAATCTGCTGTGCTAGCACTGGGAAGCCCCCACATTCTTCAACCTCTGTTACCTTTTACCCTCACTGTTCAGCTGCGGCCCTCGCCAAAGCCTCTGTTCTGCCCCTTCCATTGTGCTCACATTTGTCTCTACCAACAGGAAGGAGGTTTGAGGTTTCCATTTTCCAGTTCTCTTGCCTGTGCTGGATTCCCTGAGGATCACAGCAATGTCTGATCAAGGCAGCACAGGGCAGTATTAACCCTTCACCAGTTGCCTTGTCCTAAAAACAGCTAATTCACTTGGATCAACTCACCCCATGAAACCCAAGGGCTCTCATTTCCCTGGCATTAAGCCCTAGCAGCCCCTCAGTGCACCCATAAGACAGTCTCCCATGGCAGTGCTGCTCAGAATGGGTGCACCAGTTCTTCCTGGCAGGAGTTGCAAAATGGATATAGCATAATAGGAGTTTTGTATTTCTATATCCTGGCTTCTGTAATTTCATATCAATTTCTGTTTCATCTTACACAGGTGGTATTCAACTTTCATCAGCTGGTATTATGATTCAGCTATGCTCCTGCTTCCTTTGATGGAAATGATCTGGAAGGGGACTTTATAATATTGTCCTTGTTCTTATTCTTTCCATAAAACGACTATAATCAATCCTTATATATTAAGACTAATGTTCAAATGAGTAAGCTATTTAATGGACTTATCTCTATGTTTTCTTAGTTTAAGGACTACCTTTAAATATTTGTACTGGCTCCCAACAATTGATTCATTGAAAATTCCAATATTCTTACTACAGAAACAGAAGGCCTCTTAAAACTGAATAATGCTTGATCTTGAGACATGTGGGAATTTACACTATATGAACATCAACTTGTAAAAGCAGAAAGTTCATTTAACTTTTTCATTAACAGTTCATTTAACATGTTTGTTAACAGAAAGAAACATGGAAGCAAATTTAAAAAGAGTTAAGGTAAAATTTCTCTAGTGGAAGGAAGTAAGGGCATGGAGTACTACATCAAAACACTCTCCATGTTAGGCTGATGTGTTCTCATTCACATAAGAGTGAAACGATCTAAAAACTTTTGCTCACTAGTACTATTTACAGAAAATAAGAACAAGCCCCTAACTGTAAAGAAATGACAAAATAAATATTAGTGTTAATTATCTTTGAACATTAGCTTTTCTACTTAAGAACCAGTTTGTCCAAAATAAATGCTGCAACAAGAAGTATTCTGTGGTTGTTTTTTTTTTTCTTATTTGACTAAACTTACTGATGGCTTAGATTTTGCCTTCCTTTGTTTTCCTTTGTCCCCTTTTCTGTTGCTGGTAAAGTAATGCAAGGTGCCATATTCCATCAAGGCAGCAAACACAAAAATGAAACAAACTGAGACAAAAAGGTCCATTGCTGTCACATAGGAAACCTTTGGCAGTGACTTCCTAGCAATTGTACTCAGCGTTGTCATGGTCAGCACTGTTGTGATGCCTGTTTGAGAAAGAAAGAGAGGAAAAAAAGACAGGAAGAGGAAATGTCTAAGTAATCCAATCACAGTGTCAGAAAAAAATCATTAAATTAGCCCTTACTTCATTGATGAGGCATATAGGAATTGAGCCACAGCGGGGTTCATCACTGATTACACCCATATGCATCGATACTATTGCAAGAAGCCATCCCTATGGATCCAGCAGCCACCATGGGATCATAGAGAAGGCAGCACATTTTACCTTCCCTTTAAATCTCTTCTATGTTCAACATACACTGAATAAACAGTGACACTGCGAAAGTTCTTGCAATTTTATAAATCTGTCATAAAATGTACATATAAAACAAATACAATAGAAAACCAGGTACAAATAAGCACACATTTTACAAACACAAGAAGGAACTTTAGCTCTTGAAAGATTTAAACGTAAAAAAGGATGCATTCAGAAAAAAAAAGGTGTATTAATTTTTAATGATTTCAAACTTCTGGTAAACATAAGAAAAAATGAAAAATGTTTCCAATTGTTTGCTTCTGACATGTAGTAGATAAATTAGATGACCTTCATGGCCTTTCTGGTCTCATACTCTAAGTTAATAGATATGTTTTCAATACTCTGCCTTAAGTAATAGAAAATGTTTTTCTTGCTTCACTTGCATACAATTTAATTAAAAGAACCAGCTGGCCTTAATAACAATATGTTCAAAATCTCAGCTATACCATTCTTCACTGGTTTAGCATTTGTAAGGTGTTAATATTGTGTTCTTATATTTGATTTTTCAGGTGACTGCAAAGCCTTTTTCATCATAGTCCAAAATTAGGATATGACCTTTCCTTTGGAGAGCAATACTTGAACATACAAATTTGTTATTTAAATGCACAGGATTATTAAAAAATAATGCATTACACCAGTCTATGGCTGTCTATGGCTTATAAATCAAAGCATGGAATCAGTGGTCGCTATGGTCTACTCCTGCAGCAGGAAGGCAGTAGTGATTTTGCAACAGATTTCCTAGTGAAATTACACACCTAAAAGGGCAAACAGATAGCTACAGAGTTCTTCAAAAGTGCTTCACTCCTACTAGGTACTTTGGAAATCAATTAGACATTTCTCTGTATGTTTAAATATCTAAATACCTTTAATCATCTCAGATATTTAGCTTTGGGAACCCATAATCTGCCAAGATCTTTCAACATATATGGAAGAAAAAGGCCCAAGCCTTTTAATTGTGTCAGACCCCGGCACAGCCTCCAGGGGAAAAGTTGCACCCACTGTTCCCTGCACCAGCGTCTCTTCAGAGAGGACAAAAAGAGATGTGGATTTTCCCAGTCCTCTCTGCCATGTGAAAGGCATATATGGGGGCTGTCACAGGGAGCAAACCTTCTACAGCACAACAGCTACTTAGACCTTACATAATAGACCTTGCTTAGTTTTGCTTTTCTTGCCTTAATTTCTCACTCTTTTTCTATAAAAATGTGTCTACTTGACAAGTACTCTCTTTCTCCTTCACCAGAACATTTGCACGTGAGAAAAGTCATCCCAGAATCTGTCAAACTGTGGCTTTTGCATGTTCACACAGAAGGAGCTCACAGTTACCTGCAGGGAGCTGTAAATAAGACATTGCAAACGTTTGTAGTTCATCTCAAGTAGATGAAGGTTAGTACTGCTGAAGTGAGAGCTTGAAAACTTCAGCTTAACCATGACATCAAAGGCAAATTTTCTAGGTTCATGGCATATAAAACGTACTCTGTAAAAAGAACAAACTGGATACAGAACTAGCAGAATACCAGTACAACAGTTTTTTCCTTTTATATCTAGTGTCTTATAGCTAGTCAGAACCCATAATGATGTCCAACGACTAGTCAGTCAAAGAAATCTGATAAGAGATTTCTACATCAAGGTCTAAAACTACCAAAAGGTAATTTCACTCATTTATTTAAGACTTTGGGATCTCTTCACTAAACTTTGCAGCACTACCTCTCTGGTAGTAAATGATCCTATAAGGTGTGAATGGCACGTTTACAGAGTTAAATGAATAATGATGTAATGCATAATGATGATGAAAAATTAACTCACATCTCTCACTTCCTAAGATACACTCTCAGCTCTTGATCTTTCTCCCAAAATAGGTCATACTGCTGTCACCAGTTTTACTATAAGCATCTGTCACTTTTAAGCTCAAAGTTGCTAGTGCATGTCCTGTGCACTCCACGCACCACGTCTATCGTGATTTGTGAGGTGACTAAAACTTTTCTCTAAGGCTGCACAGGAATCCTAAACAGTCAAACTCAGGAGACTGACACCATGCTAAGCAGGTCAGCCAAGATGACAGGAACACAGAATTGTCTCTGTACTGGAACTTGCAACACACTTCAGTACTGTCAGTAGTAAAACCAGGACAGTGAGTCAGTTTTTATGTGTTATATGCTTAGCTGTGTGACGTACAAGTCTGGTTGCAAACTTTCTGTCCTATCCTGGGCTTAAAAGAATAACCAAATCATTTCTATTATTAAACCATCAACAACAACACAAAAAAACCCAATAAATATAAAGATATAAAAAAAAATATAAAAAAAAAATCCACCACCAAAACCATATATTCACAATTTACACTCTTATAGTAATGACATCATTTGTTCCATGACGCTGAGTGAAGTTTAGTCATACTTGTCAGACTGATAAGTGCCATATTGCAGTCCCTGGTGGTGACAAAAAGAACATAAAGGAGAAAAAATGTATTTGTGTGAACAACAGCAGATCCACAGAGCTTGGATCAGGATTTCCATGCTCAACATTTCCTCCTTAAGCTCTGCTGTGCAGCCATAGCAGGATTCTTCTACTCCCAATCTTGCAGTTCAAGAAAAAGAGTGACCAAGAGTCAAAAATTGAAGGGGAATAAACAATGGCTGATTTACTCCATGTTGTAGATTTTTGGGGAGCACCAGACCCTTCAAGGCTGAAAAAAGATATTCTTACCCAGAGAAGTTCTTGCAGGAACTGCATCCTTATTGATCCAAAATGACACCCATGAAAGAACAACTGTGAGTATACAAGGAATGTATGTCTGAATAGTAAAATATCCCATACGTCTGCTGAGATCAAAGAAGATTGTCATAATAATATAGTCACCTAAAAATGAAAAATAAAAATATTTACATTATATTTTATATGGTTTTCAGTTGTGGCTACATCTGTTAGTCTTGTTCTATATAGATCTTGCACAAAATAACACTTTGCCTTACCAGACAAGGTATGAGAAATTTCAGTTGTGTTTCGTAACCCTACAAATGCAAACTGATACAATCTCCAGTATTTTGGATCTGCCACTTCCACAGAGGTTTTCTTCCATTTGTATTCAATTTCATTTCTGGGATATCCATCTAGAACAAAACAAAACAAATCAAACATTTAGCCACAGAACATACCAAAGCATGTTTTGTGATATCTGAAGTTACTTATAAACTAAACCAGGGCTATACATAACGTGGATAAGAGACAATTTGTAGTTCACCTGACACACTTAAAATTTAACCACAAAACATCTGGCCTCAGTTTTAAGCCTAGCTAAAGATATGATCGATAAACAACTATGTAAATACAAATGTTTTAGAAATATCTACACGATATTCTTGAACTCCAATATGAAAACTTGGTTCAGAATAATTACTATAAATTAATATACAAATGCAATTTACATTATCATGAAATTATCAGAAAGAGCTTAAAAGGACAGACACTTTAGTATATAATTTGACAAAATTCTATTGATGGCTCAGGTAAGACCTCCAGAAAAGAAGTTGTAGCAAGGTGGATGTCAGCCTCATCTCACAGGACAAGAGGAAATGTCCCCAAGCTGCATCAGGGGAGGTTCAGGTTGGGTATCAGGAAGAATCTCTTCAGTGAGAAGGTGGTTAAGCACTGGAAGAGGTTGCTCAGGGAGGTAGCAGAGTCACTATCCCCAGAGGTGTTCAAGAAATGACTGGACATGGCACTTAGTGCTGTGGTCTAGTTGACATGGTGGTGTTTGGTCAAAGGTCAGACTTGATGATCCTGGAGGTCTTATCCAACTTCAGGGATTCTGTGATTTTAATAGCACAATTCCCTTAGGATTTTTTTTTTTTTTTAATATAGTTTATATCAAAAAAATGGAGCCTGAAAGTTGTGTTTCTTGCTCACATAAAATAAGTCCCACTGGAAGGAGAAGAACTTCTTATACTAATTAAGCATTTACAGGAACAGGTTGAAGAAGACAGATCTTATTTTTCCTTTTAAGTGTACCACATGGAACTAATTCAACACTGTCAAACCTTGCAGGCGAAAAAACCACAGTTCTTCCAGGGCAATGCTTTTCCATTAACTGAAATGGGCATTCTATCAGACTCCTAAGCAATAGTATTATTTTTAAAGGTGCACAAAATGCTTGTAATTCAACTCCTTTATTCTTGCATTAAATAATGCAATAAATCTAACCAAAACATGAATGGATCCGTTCTTTCCTTCACTGCAAGGCTTTAAAAAGTAAATATTTACTCTCCTAATGCCAGAATTCAAGGAAATTTAAAGCCTGAATGTAAAGAGAAAAAAGTATTTTACCACCTACAGCTTGAAAACTCCAGAGGACAGGAGTGTTCATCCATAGGAAAATTATGAAGCTGAAGATAACATTCAGCATTAATTGTCAGCCTAGTTAGAGAAGGAAGGAGTAAAAAAAGAAAAAAGGTTATCTTCAAGCATTCAGAAACTTCAGACTACATAGTAAAGAACATGAACAGAAATAAATTTTGCCAGTTAATGGATGTTATGAATAGCTTACTGTGTATCAACAAAAACACATCCAGCATCACCACCAAAGAACAAAATAACAAGAACTATTATCACATGCAACTTAGGATCTGCATTGTTTCAACTGGTATTTCAAGCCATTTCAAAATTTTCAATTGATTCGGGGGCAGCTCTCAGCTCCACCAGAAATAGGGGATAAAAAGGAGGGTCTGAAGACAGGGGAAGAAGAGGAGTTTATGATAGCAAATAAATGAAGTTTCTGTAGAATGCACTTGTGGACTCAAATTATATTTTACATCATTGCATCTGGTGGCTATATATAAGAGAAAAAAAGGTGGGGACACTCTTGAGCTTGTTCTATACTCATGGAAGCAGCTCTGGTGATGACAGTAGTATGGATAGGAAAGAACAGACTTGATGTTTCTACTCATTTAATGTCTTAGGCATTCATTCACAACTTATAAACATTTTAGAGGTGGTTTGGGACTCACGATTGTGTCAACTGAATCACTTGCTGCTTTTGAAAATGCTTTCATGGATTTCTGCAGGACTTCCAAACAATCAGTGTAAAACCCAGCTCTGTTATCTTTCCCTAGGAAGTTGAAGTAAGGGGCTAGACTCCAAACTGGCTTACTTGTATTTAAAATACCTCCTTCTTTGTTGGTTACACTATGTAGAAATTCAGAATGTCTTCTAAAATGAACTTTAAAAATTAACATAATGCTTACATACTAGATAAGAAAGGATGGGAAAAGGAAGATTCTGTGACATGCTGCCAGAAAGTTTTGTAAGTCTCTGAACAAAGTATTTATTCTACAGGAAGTGCCACTAGGACCTAACCAAAAGAGATTTATAGAGGAAAGTGTATTTCTTAATATACACTGGGCAAGGGGAGAGAAAGAAAAACCATTCCCTACATTTCTAAGCAAAATACTTGCATTGCTCTGAAGAGGCTTTCAAAATTTGCCAGCTATGATACATGCATTTATTGCATTTGCTTTCCATTTTCAACATTTGGATAGTCAAACACTAAAACAAAAAGAAAAAAAGCAACACAGCTAAATCTGGAATCACTGATGGGTGCAATGGACAGACCAAGGGCTGCCCTCAGATCAGTAAGGCTGATTAACAGATTCACCACGTCTGCTCTCTGAATTACCAACGAGGTAAAAAAAGGGGAGCCCACAAACCTGGAGCACTGTCAGATCATATTAAAGTTCCTTCAATAAGCAACATATGAACCTCTCAGTGTTGTTCTGCCTTAGGCCAAATTCAGGACGTATCCTCACCTATACAGATGTTTGCACATTGCAGTGCCGGGTGAAAACGTGTTCTGCTGTTTTTTTAGGAGCTCATTGTGCCTTACAGCTCATACTCTACCACAGTGATTCTAACCTATTGCTCTGTGAGGGCTCACAGGATTTTTTTGCTTGCATTTATTTATTGCTTTGTGTTACTTTGAACCTCTTTAGAAGAAATTGTACATTGAAACTAAATAGACAATGGAAGGATAAAGTCCAAGTATGACTCTACAAATACTAGCTAGAAAAAGGAAAAAAACATAGCACGTCAACAGAAGAGGCTCTCTGGAGACTTTTGTAAACACCAACCTAATAAACCATTTAAAAAATGCCCTTCGGATATGTCTGTATGCCCCCAAATGAATCATACTACGAAAAAAATTCATTGAAGAGAATCCTTTTAAAACATTCTAATTCTTCTTACATCTGATAGAGAAGACTTTTATAAATTGCTCATACAACACAACTAGTCTGCATATGAACACAACACAAATGATTGAGAAGAATGTAATTAAATGGTGCCACTTTTTGTTTAAATAAATAAATAAACTCTTAAGAGCAGAATCATATTTATGGCATCCTTTGAATGGACTATTTCTTGATCAGTTTCTCATTTACTGAAAGACTTTTTAGGCATACTTAAAAAAATTAGACTGATAGATGACCCTAAAATGTTTTCTGTAAGCTACAGCCTTTCAAGAACTGTTTGAAAAGTGACTCAAAGATCAGTACAGATAGCTAGATGGCAAGCTTAAAACCAACCAGCACAAGCATCTCTCATTTGCCAAGAATGATCACAAATATGTTTGCTTATGCCTAATTTGGATGAACAGAAGGGTAAAAACATGTTAAGAATTATATGCAGGATTAAGGCCTTAGTTTTAATTGAATTTCTTATGATTTTTATTACCCAAAGTATTTAATATTTTCCTTACAGCATATAATTTGGTGGAAATTAGATAACAAACTATTTAGACCAGAAAGTCTGCAAAACAATTTATTGTTTTGCACAATATATTAGTGACAGATCACCTTGGTGCTATACCCTATATAATATCTTTTTTAAAACCCTGAGAGAGATCAAAAGTAAGAGTGAGATCAAAATTTGCTATCCCCTTCAATTGTCTCTACCCAATTATCTAGGCAATATATTTCAATACTATAAATCTCATGTTTTTCATGATCAAATAATCTTTTTTTTTTCTCCTTTAGTTAACTCCTTGTGAATTCTGGTCCATAACAAAAGAGATGCCAGGAATTTGATTCATATTCATTATTTTCATATTCCTGGTCATAACAGTTCGTTTGTTTTTTTTCCTACCCAGACAAAAAACACCCACCTTAGAGTGTATAATACTCTTCCATCACTCCAGATTCGAAGCAAACGATTTGGAGTTGTAATCCAGTGAGCATCAGATTTCCTTGAGTTCCGGAAGAAAGTGTCTGGAATCCAAATTTTTCCAACCATATTGCTATTAAGCATAAGCACCTTCATTGAGCTGTTAAATTTTAGACGACTGTCATACCAAGTCTGGGCAAAAATTATATCTATAGTGTATTCCTAAAAACAGAGAAACAACCATATCTATGTATACATTTACCAAAGTCTGCAAGCCAACTATTTATATTTTGTATATAAGTCTGAAGCCAGTTCCTCTATTCTCTTTTGTATTATCATTTGCACACAGCAGGCTGTAAAACAGACTGAGAAACTACAGGTTGACAAAAGATGCACACAGCCTTCTGTCCCTTCCTCCTCTCCCCTGACACACATTGATTTCTTAAGGAAGAAGATATGTGACGGGAGGTTATTGTAGTGTGAATGTTCCCACACAATGCAATCACCTCCAGGGACCCTGGACAGAAATTTAAGGGCAACCTTGCTTCTTCAGGGCTGGACTATATTTGTTAAGACAGCAATTCTACATCTCTAGAGAAGCAAACCAAACAAGTTTTCTATGTTTTCCCCCAAACTTTACAAGACGTAATTTAAGATCCTTCAAAAAATTTCAGATTATGAAGAATTCGTGAATATGTGGGAAGTAAACATCACAATTTGTGGAACTATCTTCTACCATCTTCCTCATGTATCTACTAACATACAGACAAAAGTATATATAATCATAATCAGGAAGGAAATTTCCATTAAGAAGTTCCACTTTGCTTATTAAAGACTCAAGAAAACTCCTCTATAATAGAAAACTCAGTAGATTTATGGCCAGAAAAGAAAGGCAATAAATAAATAAATAAATTAAAGGAAATACCATAGGCTTTTAATAAAATAATTCTTGACACAGTAAAACTTGAGTAAGATAAACATTATAGATGCAAAAAAAATTTCTTTTTTCAATGAATCCAACCAGTTGTTTCTGCACTCCAAACACAGGGGCAAAGCAGCAGCTCTCTGTTGTATTTTTCTCAGCTCTAGACCATGACTCTAACCTTAAGGGCAACAGTCTCTCTACTTGGTGGCAGATGTAACCTTTCCTGCACAGCTGCCCCATGAGGTCTTTAATGAGCAGCTCAGCAGCTCCCTTGCAGGGAAAAAGAGCTGGAGACCAGACTTAGACACTTGGTGTTGGTTGTTCACCTCTCAGTTATGGGATGAGTGGACAAAGGAGTGGGAGGAAGAGATGGTGTTCACACTCTTGCTTGAGCCAAAGGAGGCACTACCAGTTTACTTGATCAATAAAAATGCATGGTGCAGTCAGACAGTTCTGTTTCTAAATAAAAGCAGATGGCTTCATTAGTTGGAGTGGGGGGTTGTGTCCATTTTACTTTTAAACAATTGCAGCAGCCAACTGTACAAGTTACAGACTTCTCACTAATTTCTGGAACTAATACCACCCATGAGGAAAGTTTGTGAAATTTGGCAGCTAGTTTTCCAGAAGTGCCAAGGCAGATATTCCAGGATTACCTCAATCTCTCCTAATTTTCCCACCTCTTTGGATGGGTGAAGAGCAGGTATATGCTAGAGGGAGGCTTACTCTCACTCTGTGATGTATAGCAGATGAATTAGCACCTGGACTGTGGTAACTGAGTGAGTTTCAAAGGTTATGAATAACTAATGTATGAGGCAAAAAGTGGAGGGACAGAGAGAACAAAAGGACTAATTAAAAATGCGTTTTAGAGGTGACCTCGCTCTAAAACTGCATATTTCTTGAGAGTCATTGCCATCAGGGGAAGATTCTGCAGCTCAAAACAAGTCCTTGATTTTTTTTTTCCCTGTTTCTGTAAACAGCATTCAAGACACCTGTGAAAACGCTGTACCTGCTCAACCTTAAAATTCATCTTTCTGTGCTCTTCTGTAGTGGTTGCAATGGGAAAGAAAACCTGCCTTGCTGTAGTACAAAGGAGAGCCCAAGGCAGTGCACCAGAGAAGTGTTTTAATGGGCTTAAATGGAACAGAATGAACAAAGATTTATGTGTTGCCTTTACAGTGCAAATAGTAGAAACAAAAGAAGTCAGCGAGTGAAATCAACAGACACAACCAAATGTATGAAAAGTGAAGACTGAGTTTGAAGGTGCTATTCTAAGCAGCCTCTTCACAGTAGCACTGCTTTGTTTGAGAAAAATTATCAAAGTGTCATTACAGTCAAATCTGCCCAGAGCAAGAAAACACAGGTTGTTCTAGAATACCAACCATCCTAATAAATTAAGATAGAAAAGGAAGAGGACTTTACAGATTATTTTGAACACACAAAACAACGGAATAGTATCAGCAGACCCAGATGCTTGTATTCTTTTACCCTTCCATATTAGATGTGCAAGTTTTTATCCTATTAAATCCAAAACACAGCACTGCACCGGCTACTAAGGAAAAAAACAACTCTATTCCAGTTGAAACCAGCATGCCATGTATTAGAAGACCTGTTTAGAAAACTTTGGGAAAAAAAATGAAACAACAACAAACTTCAAGTCTTCTTGATACAACTGTTCAAAAATAATCTAATACCCAATAGTTTAATATCATAAAATTTGTTACTACTGGTTTTCAAGTGTGTTGCTGAATGTATAACAAGATGTCTAAGTGCTATCCTCTTGAGACATATCTGAAAAGCGTTGTCCTCGATTCATAAGTTCACACTTCTGCAACGAGACATCTCCTTCTCCCTCTGGAGACAGGCATAATCCTACCACTCATCCCATCTGAAAGATACAGAAGTGCAGCCTCACAGTGAGTGGCAGCAGCAGTTCACCCCACTCTTCAGCAAGGATCCAGAGACAGTGATCTCTGATTTCTTCCAAGAACATTTATTCCACTTCTAACATCTGCCTTGATGGACTTTACTATCTACTTCCTCAGCATACCTATTTAGCCTGTCTCCCTGAAATCTCCTTGTCTTTGAGAGTCCATAATATATCCTGAGGTGGCATATATTCTTCTCACAATGCATCTCACATGGGATCATCTTTTTAACCCATTAAATCTATACTATCTTTCACTCAAGTGAGCTTTAGCATCCTGTCCAAGTAAATACAAGTACTAACGCTGTAGAGTATCAGTACGATGGCTGATTTGGAGGGGGCACCTTCAGGTCTTGGGTGTTAAACCATTCTCTGGAGGTGGAATGCTCTCCCAGCAGTCCCCTAGCTGTGGCTCTATGAGCCCATAAGAAGCTCACACAAACCACGCTGAGGGATGGGTGAAAGAGGAAGTTTATTGGGGATGGGGGCTTATATGGCTTTCAGGGGGATTAGAAAAGAACCAGTTACCAATGAGAAGACCTAAGGAGATCTTCCCAGGACATTCCTGCATAAGGGTTCTTTACAGGGGGTGTCGGGAAGGAGAAGGAGTGACTTTGCAAAAATACAGAAAAGCCATTTTAAGGTCTGTTTAAACATTAAAAACTTCTGTTTCTATAACATTTGAGCTGGTTTCTTCTTGTCCTTCACCAGTCCATCTCTGACAGGACTTCTTCCATCCTACATAGGGTAAATCCATTGCCACATATCAGTATCATGCAAGACATGATAATGGGACTCATGTTTATTAGTCTCTTTTCCAAACACATTTTTTCCTGCAGGAGACACCTCCAAGTAGTCACCAAGCACGGGCAAAAACAAAAAGGATAATCAAACTAAGAGTCTGGCAGCACGCTGCTGTGACAGTATAGAGTACAATAACCTGAAAGGGAAACTAAGCTAGAAGAATTATTAAGAATGATAGATTCTTTCTGAAAATCTACTTTTGAAATGGGTCTGATATTTTCAGATTTTATGGATTCATGCAATGAATTCCCTGAAATTTGCATCTCCTGAAAAATATTTCATATTTCCATAAGAAGGGGATGTCTGGGTCCCTACAATTTGTTGAAAATTAGGTAGAAAAATCTCAGTGCTGTCTTTTCTGGGAGTACTTTGTTTCTAAAATGAGATGAATAAAAGTCCTATCTTTTTTATAAAAACTGTATAAGTAAGCACAAAAGCTAACAGATTTATACAATGTTTAGTTCAACAAATCTTTCTAACTATTTGTTTTCCCTTTTTCTTACAAAATTTAGGTTAACATTCTTGTCACTACTTCTAATAGTCTTTCATAAAACTCACCATTTAATGTCACTGTGTAACCATAAAAATTAGTTTTATTACTCCCTCTTTCAAATTAAACTAATGACAAAATAGCTATGCAGAAAAAATTGAATCAGTCTATGGCTGTCTTAGTTACAGCCATAACAAAATGCATCCTTCTGCATATTTAGCCTCATGGGGTTCATGAACAATGGCACACATTAGCTCATTTTTGGCATTTGATTAGTATGCTGAAAACCTTTTTTGCAAAGCTGATATAAAGTGCCCACCTGCCTAATTATTTACAGATAACTGCAATCCTCCTCCATCTCTTTCCTCTGTAAAAGATCATACTCCAAAAGCTGGGAACAGAGTGACTAATCAGAGATTACCACTAAAGAAAGGGCCAGGCAGCGAACAAACTGTGACTATTGACAAACAGTCATAGTCTGAATGAAAGTCATTTAATAAATAAGAGCAATTACTTCAAATAAAGTAGGAGCAGCTGCTGTAGGGGAATAAATGGAATCCTTGACATGTTTCATTGTCATGCACAGTCCAATTAGAGTCAGACTTGAGCAGGTCAGTGGATTTATTTTTTTTTTTTTTACTGGAAAGCTGTGAAAGAAAATAAGGCAAATACCATCTAACATGATTTTTTATCAGTACAAACCACATCACACAAATTCCAATATCTATAAGGGTGGGAAAAATCTAACAATGCAGGAAAAAATTTCTTGGATATTTTGCCTGACAGTCCCACAACTGATTTGATATTCCACAATAAAAAACTACGGAGAAGTCAAGTAACAAGTAGCTAAATTGTTACCTGGATTATGTTAACTGCATCACAATTTGTTTGAGAACAGGAAAAGGTAGCCTAGTTTTGTGGTGCTAAACACAAAACCAAGGAAGAGTCCCAAAACCAAACTCACAACTGAAAAGTTGTGTTACAAACCACAGACCGTCAATAAAGTTCACTATCAGTGAATTTTGGTGAAAAATTAATAAATACATACGTCAGTCATTTCATCTTTTCTCAGAAACCCA